ATATAATTATTAATATTATATAGTATTATATATATAGATAGATAATATTTTATATAAGAGAATATATATATTTTTCCTTTTTGTTGAAAATAAAATACTGCATTACCTACTTTTAGTATTGAATATTATTGTGAATAAGAAAACGTTACATAAGTGTATTATTTAATGTTACATTCAACTCTGTATTTTAATAAGTTTTGTTTAGTTGAACGAAAGAATAAATAGAAGAAAATTAGTAGATAAATAAAAGAATATTAATGTAATAAATCTTATATATTTCTTTAAGAAGAATTTGCTTTCATATTAGTAAATAATTGTTCATATTAAAAAAATGCAGTGTACGGGGCATGGAAACTCTATGATTTATAATACTATTATTGTTAAATAATATAATTCAACTATGTTTCTAATTAAAGTAAAACACATGTGTAAATAGTTGCCTCTACATATGTATTAAATATTTAATATATTGCAAAGATTTATACGCAATGTATTTTCTACTTTTATCCCCAATTTAATTAATTTTCAACATTTACGAAATAATATGGTTACTTCTTTTTTCATATATATGTTTATCAATAACAAGTATATTTGCGATTAAATAATTACATTTTTCTGTGCTAACAATAGAATTCCCCTTTTGTTAATTTTACGTGATATATTACGATAATTAAAATTAATGTCCTATGTCGTTAATAAATATAAAAGGTAAATTAACCTACGAATGCATAAACTCTATCCACGTCCTCTTTAAAATATTCTTTTGTATGGAACGACTTCGTTTACCAAGTAATTCAGTTTGTTATAAGAGAAAGTGATCACGAGTTTTATACATTACGTTAAAGTCTAGTTTCCAACACAGGACTCTGAACCCGGTATGCTTCTGCTGTCACAAATACATGTTTTCTGTAGACGATTCAGAAATTTATTTGAAAATAAAGATGCACATCGTTATTTAGGGAAAGCTAAACTAAAATAAAAATTCTCAGCGTTCCCATAATCAAAACATGCAAAATTTAAGCTAACAAAAAGTATTAACGAAAAATTTTTGAACTATAATGATTACTATATGTCTGTAATATGGACAATAATAATAATTATAGGCTGACATATAAAACCATATCTATTTACGAATTCCCAAAAATATGTATACTGATATAATATGATTTCTTCATAAAATTTTCGATAAAAGTACATGCAGAATGTTTCAAAATTATGCAACAAATTAGAATTCGTTATGATAAAAAAAGTTGACAACTTTTTAGTCATTACTACAGTATAAAATTCTATCCAAGTAAGCAATTAAAATGTTAGGATCAAACTTCCGGCCTGCGCTATTTAAATATGTACATGCATTCGCAAATTATAAATGAAAAACACGTATATGCATGAAATATCATTGAAAATGAAATTTTGATTTCATTTATTAATCTAATGCATCCTTGAGATTTTTCTCTTTGTTTTCAGTACTTATTATCATGTTTTCGGTATTATATTATCAACAATTTATTTTTTTTTAGTTAAGATAAATTATATTTATATGTCAAAAACCCAGAATATACAAGGATATTTATAACTTAAATTATAAACAACAATGTATGTATTTAATATTATGTCATGTTAAATACTAAATTTATAAAAAAGTAATTATTTTAATTATTTTATTGGACTATATAATAGAATTATATGCACTATATAAAAAAGAGCGAGCATTAGTACTTACATTATTGGAAGTATTTCGAATTTCTTGTAGTACGTATTCCCTCAAATGCACAAAACTCACAAATACTTGGTTAAAAAGCACGAAAGACTACGGAGACTGATAACATAAAAGAACGTGATTTTATCCATTTGCTAATACAAAATGATGCGAAATTCAAATCAGAAAATACATTAAAATGTTAACGAAGTACCTTACAGTAGAATTGTGAAACAATGAAAATCAAAAAGTTTGATCATAACAATATTTACATCAAAATTGATTTAAGAAATAACTAATATTAAATTTAATCAAACAAAATTATATACACAATAAATAAACTTTTATAGTAAACGTCTTAGGAAGTATTATATGGATTTTAAACGTACTTTATAGCTCATTAATTTACTTAGAAAACATATAGGCACATTAACGTTAAAAATTTACTTTGCACAGAATGTATATATAGTTTTTAAAAATGTAACTTTAACAGATCAATTATTGCAAATCAAAATATACAAATACAATATAAGCATTATAATATACAATGCTTACATAGAGAATATAGAACACAACATAAACAATTAATAATATATAGGTATGAATACTAATACAAAGAGGAAGCAAAATACTTCTATATCATGAGTGCTTTAATAATTGTTTAATTAATATAATTACATTACAAGAATGTCTAATTATAAATATGCAGTTAGATCAATACAACTTGCCATACTATATATTACATACGAATGACTAAACAAATACATTGATAGCAAGTAGTACTGAATATAAAATATACATAAAAAAGTAATACAATGGAACTATCAATACTATCAATTTTACTAGACACTGCCAAAGATTGTACTCTAAAGGCAGTCAAAGAATGTAGACTTTGCCTTAACATTCTTTGTGTCAAATGTCTCTACTTCAAGGTGATAGTGTCCCCTGTTAGTGTGCTGGCAAAAACTTGCATTTCTCCCTTAAACCTCAATACCAAATTAGTGTTGACCCATTCTGAACGTCATAATCTGAAAGAGTTCTTCTGTCATCCACTTATTTGACAACAAGGATCAAATACTGATGGTCAAGAAAAATTTCTTCTCTGTCTTGAATCTTTGTATCACTATAATCTATTCCCTTTTCCAGATTAAATCCTTGTGGCACAAGACACACTTTATATTTTGTTGGTTTTCTATCTGCATCTGTTTTTAATTTATATATCCACTTGGATCCAATGCAGGTTTTCCACTTAGGCATGACAGTAATTGTCCACACTTTTATAATTCGTAAACTGCCACATATTCTCTGCTACAGCCTCCCTTCTAGTAGAGAAATTTAAATTTTCATTTCATCATTTCGTTTTAGATAATTCTAAAAGCAGTACATAAGCCAAATACTAATCCTTGACCAATGCAGAAGCATTACTCAACCTAATACATATTATCTTTACCCTGTAAACATACGACATACTTGTATCATCTCTAATTCGCAAATAATCCTCATAAATAAAACTAACTTTTCAATTAAATTCTACAGAAACCTGAACTTCAACACATACATCAGTTAGAAATAAAATTTCTCACTTCTATATTATCCTCTGTTGTATACTCAACCTTTCCAAAGAAGTAATCTATTAACCCTTTCCTTTTGAGGAGGCATTGCATACCAGTTCCCTACATTCTATAATTATCATTTGTCAAGTTGCTTATGTGCACATCAGGATTTATTACATCACCCTTCCTGACTACACTTATTGGAACCAACAAAGTGCACATTATAGTGTTCACAAGTTAAGTTCTACTTTAGCACGTGCTCTGAGCCCAGAAAAAATGTTTAAATTGGAAATAAAAATATAGTCAATATCTAGTACATGGTATATTAAAATCAATTAAAACATATAACACAAACTAAAGAATACAATGTCCTTGGTTTATAAGAAATAAATGGTTAACACTTTGATTACACCTGAATTACATACAAACAACATGGCGCACACAATACGCACGGCATAAACGATTTAAGACAAAGAAGATTGAGAGGGAAAGGGAGGAGGCACACTCTACAACTGCCAGTTTCATTCAAACTCATACACTGACAAGTATCAAACAGACCTTTGCCAACGCACTCTGCATAGTGCCGAAAGTTTCCATTTCCAAGGTGACGGATTTCCCAGTCTTGAAAATTTGGATTCCTCCCCTGAGTCTTAATACCAAATGGAGAGTTGATTCCTTCTGAATGTTATAATCTGAAAGAGTCCTCCCATCTTCTAGCTGTTTGCCAGCAAAGATCAAACGTTGCTGATCAGGGGGAATTCCTTCCTTATCTTGTATCTTAGCTTTCACATTCTCTATTGAGTCAGAAGCTTCTACTTCCAAGGTGATGGTTTTTCCTGTCAGTGTCTTAACAAAGATTTGCATTCCTCCCCTGAGTCTTAGTACCAAGTGAAGAGTTGACTCCTTCTGGATGTTATAATCTGATAAAGTTCTTCCATCTTCCAGCTGTTTCCCAGCAAAGATCAAACGTTGCTGATCAGGGGGAATTCCTTCCTTATCTTGGATCTTTGCCTTCACATTCTCTATTGTGTCAGAAGCTTCTACTTCCAAGGTAATGGTCTTTCCTGTCAGTGTTTTGACAAAGATTTGCATTCCCCCCCTGAGTCTCAATACCAAATGTAGTGTTGACTCCTTCTGAATGTTATAATCTGAAAGAGTTCTTCCATCTTCTAACTGTTTGCCAGCAAAGATCAAGCGCTGCTGGTCTGGAGGGATTCCTTCTTTGTCTTGGATCTTTGCCTTCACATTCTCTATTGTATCAGAAGCTTCTACCTCCAAGGTGATGGTTTTCCCTGTGAGGGTCTTTACAAAGATTTGCATTCCTCCTCTGAGCCTTAGTACCAAGTGGAGAGTTGACTCCTTCTGGATGTTATAATCTGACAAAGTTCTCCCATCTTCCAGCTGTTTCCCAGCAAAGATCAAACGTTGCTGATCAGGGGGAATTCCTTCCTTATCTTGGATTTTTGCCTTCACATTCTCTATTGTATCAGAAGCTTCTACTTCCAAGGTAATGGTTTTTCCTGTCAGTGTCTTGACAAAGATTTGCATTCCCCCTCTGAGTCTCAATACCAAATGTAGTGTTGACTCCTTCTGGATGTTATAATCTGAAAGGGTTCTCCCATCTTCTAATTGTTTGCCAGCAAAGATCAAACGCTGCTGGTCTGGAGGAATTCCTTCTTTGTCTTGGATTTTCGCTTTTACATTTTCTATTGTATCAGAAGCTTCTACCTCCAAGGTAATGGTTTTTCCTGTGAGTGTCTTGACAAAGATTTGCATTCCTCCTCTGAGTCTTAGTACCAAGTGGAGAGTTGACTCCTTCTGGATGTTATAATCTGAAAGGGTTCTTCCATCTTCCAGCTGTTTCCCAGCAAAGATCAAACGTTGCTGATCAGGGGGAATTCCTTCCTTATCTTGGATCTTTGCCTTCACATTCTCTATTGTGTCAGAAGCTTCTACCTCCAAAGTGATGGTTTTTCCTGTAAGTGTCTTTACAAAGATTTGCATTCCTCCTCTGAGCCTTAGTACCAAGTGGAGAGTTGACTCCTTCTGGATGTTATAATCTGAAAGGGTTCTTCCATCTTCCAGCTGTTTCCCAGCAAAGATCAAACGTTGCTGATCAGGGGGAATTCCTTCCTTATCTTGGATCTTTGCCTTCACATTCTCTATTGTGTCAGAAGCTTCTACCTCCAAGGTGATGGTTTTTCCTGTGAGGGTCTTAACGAAGATCTGCATGTTTTAGATCTAAAAAACTATATGATAAAAGAAAAAAACATAAATATTTATATTAATAACATTTTATGGATGAATGTATTGTATGTATTTTATGTTTGACTTTATTACATAATAAAGTCATTTTGGATCATTTTTATTTTATAGTATGAGAAATTAACCCTACTGTATCTTTCTTCAATCGTTGTTATTTATATCAGAAAATTAAATTCTGTGTATTATTTTTCTGTACATGAATTATTTCTATCATAAAATGATATTATTCGCTGATACGTAGATTTCATACTGAGCAATCAATGTAAAAGTATATAAAAATGGCGTCTTAACGGAAGCTTCAAAAAAATTCAATGACGTAAAGAAATGCGTCTTAAATGGTTTTCAATTGTATCGTATGCTTATAATAATTTATATGTCGATAACAAATACTTTTTGACAGCCAATTATTAATTGCGCTACTTCTATAGTATTATGAAACTACATGCAGATATAATTGAAGAAAATATTAATCAATTCGTAAGTACGTAGTTCAGCAACATAAAGACTCGTTAATGAGATTGTAAAACATTATGTAGGAACTTATCCATTACACGTAATTATAAGAAAAAAATGGCAATATGGTACTTACATGCACGGAAATAATTTATAAGAAGAAATTTGCAACGAAAGTCAATCTAGATTGTTCTAGAAACCAAGTATACACAAGCTTCCAGGAGGAGAGATAAGACGTCAGTAGAAGAGACGTGAAATGACGTAAAACTTGGGTATATATAGATATCTAATGTCGTTACCATATTATGGATACAAAACTCCCTAGAACGAAAAATAAACTCAATTTTTGTGTAGTGACAATAGTATTTAAATTTTAAAAAATAGGAAATCATTATTATATAATAAATTTACATTTTTTTTGTTTGTAGTATGATAAATTAATCTATTTCATACAGCAAATTTCTTTTAAAATAAAAGAAATTAATGTTTATTTCTGTAGTTTAAAGTATTTTTGAAACTTTAAAAATTTTTAATTTTGGGGATATAACTGAAAATACATGTAGTATATCTAAATCTAAAGTTGCATGTATAAAATTTAGATTTTAAGAAATACAATGACTACCCAAACTTTTGTCATCTTAATTTTTGTTATAACTGCTGATGTAGGATAATTAATGATTGTAAATGTCTTTTTGAGGGTCGTACTTCTGTTGCACGATCTTGACGTATACCAATTATTTTCAGCCCGGGACAAAATATTAATTTTGGGATTATTATATTTAACATTTCTAGAAAGGTTTTCAATGTTTAATTTATCTGTGACCAATTATTGTTAATTTTTACTACATGGCTGCGCGTAGAAATCTATTAAATACTAACTTTCATAAACTTGGTTATTCTGTTCACTTCTCTTTGCGTTTCTAAAATTAATTGCATGTTACCTGATAATGTAGTAAGCTACACTGGATCTTTTCGACACAATTTTCGAACATTGTAAAATTATCTTATTTCTTCTGTGTCACTCGTAACATTACTGATAAAGTATCGATAAAAAATTGAACACAATAGGGGAAGTAATGTTTTTAGGATGTATTTTTTTCCTTTAATTTTTTAATAATTTTGTAATGACCCGTAGATATCTAATAATTAAACTATCTTTCGTGCTAATACATATTAAAGCAGTAAAATTTAAGAATAAATGTTTCAATAACTGTAATACATTATCTTTTTCTTAATTTGCTATCGCAACGAATTCCTTGTGGTAGATAAGCAATTATAATAATTACATCCAGCGGTTAGACGAGACAGGTCCGTACAAAAGATACAAATATTTGTGATCGCTTTTTTAATAAAAAGATTCCTTTGGAACCCATTTTTCTATTCAATCATTTTCTTTTTATGATAAGTAAAATACAATATGATAAAAAAAATGTTACATTAAAAATCATTTTCAAACAATTATACTGTAATGATTGTGAGAACAAATTTCAACACTACTTATTAATAAATAGTGATATAATACAGTGAAATCTCCTGGCAAGGAGTTTATTAACATTTTCTTAATGAACATAACTGTATTACAAGAAAGTGTTATTGTACATATAGAACTGGATCAATACAACTTGCCATTCTTGACATTAAATATGAACAGCTTAACACTTTAATACTGACAGTTAGAAGTACTGATTACACAACGTATATAAAAAAGTAATATAATGGAATTATCAATATTATCAATTTTACTAGACATTGTTGACAGAGTTTACTGTCAAGGCAGTTTAAAGACACAATCACATATTAAATTACTAACTGTGACATAGGTAATTCTTGTGTTTTAGAAGGATACCAGCATATTCAAAGTGCTTATTGAATAACCAATGTTTTAGTCCATTTTCTCGTTTTGAAAAATAAACAACTATACCTCCACGAAGTCTTAACACTAAATGGAGTGTTGACTCCTTTTGAATGTTATAGTCTGAAAGAGTTCTACCATCTTCTAACTGTTTTCCAGCAAAGATCAAACGCTGCAGGTCAGGTGGGATTTCTTCTTTGTCCTGGATTTTAGCTTTTAAATTCTCTATAGTATCAGAAGCATCTACCTCCAAAATGATGGTTTTTCCAGTCAGTGTCTTTACAAAGATTTGCATTCCACCTCTGAGTCTCAATACCAAATGTATTGTTGACTCCTTCTGAATGTTATAATCCGAAAGAGTTCTCCCATCTTCCAATTGTTTGCCAGCAAAGATCAAACGCTGCTGGTCTACAGAGATTCCATCTTTGTCTTGGATTTTAGCTTTTACATTCTCTATTGTATCAGAAGCTTCTACCTCCAAGGTGATGGTTTTTCCTGACAGTGTTTTGACAAAGATTTGCATTCCTCCTCTGAGTCTCAATACTAAATGTATTGTTGACTCCTTCTGAATGTTAGAATCTGAAAGAGTTCTCCCATCTTCTAATTGTTTGCCAGCAAAGATCAAACGCTGCTGGTCTGCAGAGATTCCCTCTTTGTCTTGGATTTTAGCTTTTACATTCTCTATTGTATCAGAAGCTTCTACCTCCAAGGTGATGGTCTTTCCTGACAGTGTCTTGACAAAGATTTGCATTCCTCCCCTGAGTCTCAATACCACATGTATCGTTGACTCCTTCTGAATGTTATAATCTGAAAGAGTTCTCCCATCTTCTAATTGTTTGCCAGCAAAGATCAAACGCTGCTCGTCTGCAGAAATTCCATCTTTGTCTTGGATTTTAGCTTTTACATTCTTTATTGTATCAAAAGCTTCTACCTCCAAGGTGATGGTTTTTCCTGACAGTGTCTTGACAAAGATTTGCATTCCTCCTCTGAGTCTCAATACTAAATGTATTGTTGACTCTTTCTGAATGTTATAATCTGAAAGGGTTCTCCCATCTTCTAATTGTTTGCCAGCAAAGATCAAACGCTGCTGGTCTGCAGAGATTCCATCTTTGTCTTGGATTTTAGCTTTTACATTCTCTATTGTATCAGAAGCTTCTACCTCTAAGGTGATGGTCTTTCCTGACAGTGTCTTGACAAAGATTTGCATTCCTCCTCTGAGTCTCAATACCAAATGGAGTGTTGACTCCTTCTGAATGTTATAATCTGAAAGGGTTCTTCCATCTTCTAGCTGTTTCCCAGCAAAGATCAATCGTTGCTGATCAGGGAGAATTCCTTCTTTATCTTGGATCTTTGCCTTCACATTCTCTATTGTATCAGAAGCTTCTACCTCCAAGGTGATAGTTTTCCCTGTGAGGGTCTTAACGAAAATCTGCATGTTTTAGATCTATAAAACTGTATAATGAAAGAAAAAACATAAATGTTTGTATTAATAACATTTTATGGATGAATGTATTGTATGTATTTTATGTTTGATTTTTCTACATAATAAAGTCATTTTCGATCATTTTTATTTTGTAATAGTTAGAAGGGTGGAATTTTATAGTGTGAGAAGTTAATGCTACTGTATCTTTCTTCAATCGTTATTTATAACAAAAAATTAAATTCTGTGTATTATTTTTCTTCAAATAAATTATTTGTATAATGAAATGATATTATTTGCTGATATGAAGATTTTGGGCTGAGTAATCAATGTAGAAGTAATCAATTATAAAAATGGTGACTTGAATGATTTTCTATTATATTGTGTTCTCATAATAATGTTTATGTTGATAACAAATACTTTTTGATGGCTGATTATGAAGTACGCTGCTTCTATAGTATTATGAAACTACATGCAGATATAACTGAAGAAAATATTAATCAATTCGTAAGTACGTAGTTCAGCAACATGAAAACTCGTTAATAAGATTGTAAAACATTATGTAGGAACTTATCCATTAGACGTAATTATAAGAGAAAAATGGCAATATGGTACTTACATGCACTGAAATAATTTATAAGAAGATATTTGCAATTAATGTCAATCTGTGTTATTCCAGAAACCAAATATCTTCAAACTTTCAAGACAAGGGATAAGACGTCATGTGAGCAGACATAAATTGACATACAACTTTCGTATATTAGGTATATAATATATAGCCATATTCTAGACCTGAAATTCCCTAGAAAGAAAAATAACTATGATTTTTGTCTAACTAATATTGTATTTAAATTTTCAAAAATAGAAAATCATTTTTATATAATAAATTTACATTTTTTTTTGTTTGTAGTATGATAAATTAATCTATTTCTTACAGCGAATTTCTTTTAAAATAAAAAAAATTAATGTTTATTTCTGTAGTTTAAAGTATTTATGAAACTTTAAAAATTTTTAATTTTGGGGATATAACTGAAAATACATTTAGTATATATTACAACAATTAGCAATTTATTTCAGACAATTTTTCTACGTAATTGTAGCCTAACAGTGATATTTGAAAATTCGTTTGCTTGATGTTGTGGATTCGATTCCCGGCTGTAGAGTGTTACAGTTCCTTTTAAATTTATTTTTTACTTTGTATTAATTTTTCGGTTATGACAACATTGTAAATAAACTATTGTAAATAAAATTTCTTAATAAACAGATCTTTTTACGCCTTCTTATGCTAGTAAATATTTGTTACAAAGTAATAAGAATACAGAATAATAAAAATCCAAAATTATATTAGAAAATTTTTGAAGGTTCTACCTTTACGATGCAATTGTAAAAGTTCATAAATTAATCACAGACATTGAGTAATTAATGAATATTCCACTGCCGATTTGATTTATTACAATATATTAAGAGCACTTAACCAGAGTTAGTAATCTGATATCAGTGTCATTGATGATTCTAGACACAAAGCTCGAGTTCCATAACGAAAACATAGATGGCTCTGATGTTAGTTTACTAACTCTGGTTATGTGCTCCAAATATATTTTAATATATTTTAATAAATCAAATCATAAAGATTTCTGCATTCTTTATTAAATTCAGCCGAAACAGCGGTTTTAATTAGACGAACAGCATTCATTTCTTTACCTGGCAAACGACAAATATGCAAAGGTACGCCTTTACAGCGCAATAATAAAGTTTCATAAATTAACCACAGAAATTGAGCAATTTGTTAATTTTCCTCCAAGTGAACAGGAGAGTGCATGGAAAATGAGAAGAAATTGCAAACAAACGTCGGAAGGATTGTTTTGTCCATGCAGGTGTGCCTGCATCACGAAAAGATTCACGATAAGTATTTGTATTAACATAACCTTAACATAACATAACATAATTCAGTTGTAAACACATGGTGTAAGATATAAAGCATTGCTTTTCCATCTTTCATTAGTGATAGCAAAGCCCAGTTGTTAGGAGACAATATTCTATTGAAGTAAACAGGCACGTGCAACAATAGAAAAATATTGGATTCATGGAATATCATCAGCGTAGATGCCAAGAATTATACTTTATAGCAAGAAAAAATTGAAGCAGCAATACAAATATGTAAAGTATATGTCTATTGGATTGTAGATTGATTAACTATATGTCATACAAGATAAAAATCTTTGAGGGTCAAATAAAAATTCAGAAAATGGAGATGGTTTAGGCAGACAAAAAGGAATACAATTAATTTAGGTGATGGCCTCTTCTAGCAACA